CGAAACGTTGTACATTTGCTGCTATGTTAAACTTATATTAAAGTTTTTCTTCATTACCCATTCAAGCCGTCTCCAACCATAATCAGATGGAAGTTGTCAAGTATTGATGAGATTTATATGTATGGACTGCTACATTACTTTGGTAAATACTGTAATAACCATTTTTATAACTTATTAACATGCAGAACGCCATATATATATATACTCAAATTATTTTGTTCGAGAGAAATTCCAGTCAAAGATAAAATCCAAATATTTTGTTCTACCAACTGTCAAAAATATACACGTAATGATTCTATATACACATATATAATGCCTTGTGCAACTACGTTGCCATGACGACTTTCAAAAGATTTTTACAACACGGTGCTATAGGACGAGTAGATATTACAACAGGTTACGACAACGACTTAAACATGCTCAAACAGCTGTAAATTTTATGATCTTCCTAGTTCCTAGCTTAATTGAGTCTTATTAGGTTATAGGACAATATTCTCTCTCTTGTCTGTCATAAACGTTTCGTTAAACTAATCTGATGATCTATAGTTGGATGATAAGAGTGTGAAATTTGTCAAACAATAATACGATTTTGGAGACAAATATTTAGAATATGTCATATATTTCCTCATAATTAATAAATTTTGTTACATACAAATTTTTCATAATTCGTGCTGTACCTATATAGATATATCTACCACCCCTAGGTCAACATTTTTATCAGTTGTTAATAGGTACCCCTAGGTCAACATTTTAATCATTTGTTAATAGGTCTCCTAAGTCAAAACTTTAATCATTTGTTAATAGATCATTAAGTTTATAAAACAAATAACTGACAACATATAAACATACTTCAGTAAGAAATGACAAACTTAATTACAGTTTAAAAAAAAACTACGAAATGCAATTAAAGTCGTAGTTCATCAACGATGACTAACACATTTTCCATGAGAAAAAAAAGTCTACAAACTTACATTCTGTTTTGAAAGTGAAATATTCTGTTAAATGCCTACACTCGTGGTTGCCTCGTAATAAAAATAATGTGTTGGTATATGATACTTTTAATGCCCACAAGTAGAGGACACACTGCAAAAAAAGAAAGAGAGAGAGAGAAATTAAAGACAACGAATAGATAAAAATTGCAAGTATATATCAATCAAAATCCAATCGTTTATTGCTAAATTGTTTTTAAGATCGCGGTTTCCGAAGGTTAAAATGCAAAAGATGAGTATAAAGTTTGATACCACAATTATAAGATTTGTCTTCAAAATATTTAGTTAACGAAGACGTTTCTTTAAAATAAAGTTTGGTTCATGAAATCTGGCAACAAAATCTTTATTGACAAAGCAGTGTCTTCAATATGTGTTTAATTAATGAAATTATGAACTTAAAAGGTTTATTTAATAAAGGGGTGATTTCTACTAAATCTGTATTTAATGAAATCCTATCTGCCAATCTGTTTTTGATTAAAACGATTCTGTCAATTTTTGGTCAATGAATTTGTAACTTCGAATACACTTAATTTATGAAAGTTCAAGTGTACGTTCTTTTACAAATATTGGTTATTTTAACCTAAGTTTTAGTATTATTATTTCATTAAAACACAATATCAGTCATGCGTTTTATATAAGTTTGCTTTGTTAGTCATTTTTTGTAGCTATAATTTTTTGTATCGAATTTTAATGTAATTCGTTAAAGTATTTTTACAGTAATATATTCAATAAAACTATTTTTGTCATGTCTTTGTTAAAACATTTTTTTGCGAGTAAATTTCAAATAATGATCATGTTTGACGTTTAAAAACAAATTTTTACAATAAATATTTCATCAAAATAATTTTTATTGTCAATAATCAAAGACTGATGAAATAAAATTTACATGTATGAACCCTTTAAAATTACATTTAGGCATAACTATCAATTCTTACAATCACGATTTCGTTAAACAATTCTTACGGTCGTATTTTTGGCAAAACGAAGTTCAAAACTATGAATTTTTAAAGATATATTTTTTAAAGAAATAATTTTACAAAAATTATTTTCACAACGATGCCTTTGTCAAAACAATTGTCAAAAGTATGACGTTGTTCAATAATTTAATATTTCTTCAGCTATTACTTAAAATAATTCATACACTCATAACTTTGCTAACATAAGCATTAGACTTCATCACAGCAGGTTTTAACATCCAGGTTCCGTCACGACTTCGTTAAAACTCCGACTGATGAGACATGCTAAACCGCAATAATACAATATAAATATATATAAGTCTGTATATCACTTACTGGTATGATCTTTTACCAGACACCTTAATGACCGAAAATAAGTAACAGTTTTACAAGACGGGAAACGTATCGAATTGAAACTAATTCTAAACATTATTTAAAAATAATATAAACATCAAACAAAAATTATTGCCTCAGAGTTAGTTGTGGATGTTGCAGTGTCTGGTAGTTTGATAAAGGGCCCCGATTTTTATACGGTAAAAAATAAATAAAATGGCAGCCAACAATTTGAAGCCAAACATCATAAAATTGCTAAGTTACTATGCAGAAAAAAATCAAAATAGCATTGATTATACCATCCTTACCCAAAGTAAACACAGCTTAAACAATAATTTTAAGAGCATATTAGATATTATTAATGTAATTGCACAATCAACAGCAATTTCACACTGATTTTATTGTTAAATAACTTTTGATAGTACTGATCAGGCTGGCTCGTCAATAGGCACCATTTGCCAATAAACAAAGTCATAAAGTCAAAAGTTATAAATTTGATAACACTGACGTAGACATGATTTTGCTAAGTCTAGAACTTCAGAATTTCATTGTGCAGTCAATCACTAACCATGCAGTCATACGTACATACATATATTATGCAAAATTGTCGCGGCTGCGTAATAACGTTAAACTGAGGCCATGTTTTATAAAACGTTCTGTTTCGTGTACAGCATGAACCGAAATTATTAGAGGAAAAATATAATGATTAGTTTAGAAATAGTTCTTCCCTCCAGTATGTATGCTAAGTAATTACACAACTGATGCACTAACTACGTTTAAATCTTACATTTCGTTTTATATATAAACATTCATGATTAAGATTTTATACAGTCATATAATGATGTATTATAAATTAAGTCACTTACTGTGTTAAACACAATATGATTTTCAACACGTTTCACCAGTTTTTCGTTAAAGTTCTTTCTTTATAGATAAGATCTTCATTCTCTAATATAATAATTACTCCAAGGCTACGTCTCCTTTTGAACAATGGTAAATGGACACTATGGTTCTCTTTCGTCATATATTTTCATATGACATGAACAAACGACCAAGTAGTTGCTGTAAAATGTCCAGCGAACTTGTTTTAGGATACAATGAGTTCAGGGAATGCCTAGTGTGAGATTCCGTAATCTCTGCTTTGCGGCATAAATTCTAATGCTAATTTGATACGTTTGGGGCATATTATCTCGCAATTTACACACACACAGAAACACATACATATGTTTAAGTTAATTAGCACTCGAGAGCTCGGAATTAACCATACACAAAGCACGTACATCTTGTTAAGCAGTGCTAAACATGTTATCATGAGGATTAAGTATCATGTAACCACTCAAGCGATAAAAGACGAACAAAGTGAAACTCTAGAATCTAGGCTCATCTAAAATCGTTTCTATCATTCACGTTTCACTCTAACTAGCCGGGACATGAAAAATAACACCCACACACACACATAATATGCGTGTAAATATATTTTACATGTTAAAAAACAAAACCAAAGTTAAATTTGGCCTTTCATATAAATTGGCTGAAACATTTTACTTTACACTTTTTTTTATCACAAATCTTCGCGCCTTTTTCACTTGATTATTTTGTAAGTAGCAAACAGTCGTGTACAGACAGGTCCCATGCGTATCTAGATGCCACATTAAGAAATAAAAAAAGGAAATAAACTGACTCACCTCTATGCTAAAATAACCCCTGTCTACATAATCTCCAAGAAAGAGATATTTAGTTGTAGCCGGTGGCCCACCTACTTCAAATAACTTCATTAGGTCGTAGAACTGTCCATGAATATCACCACATACTGCAATAAGAATATGAATATTATGTATTTAAAGAAAGAGAAATATGACACATTTTACCATCATGAAACAGAAAAAATACACAAAATACTAACATGTTTCGACAACATCGTTCGATATAAAAGACTTCCTTTAAGACCTTAAAAGTGCAATATTAAGTATACAAAGACTACTGAAGTAAAATATAAATCATACAACGGTAAAAACTTTAAAAATTAATACTAACCTAGATTTACAAAAATTACTAACTGATTCATTAGTAAAGGTTGAATATTTTTATACAGGTTGACTGGAACACATATTTTGTTCGTTGTTTTGTGGAATTTCGCGAAGAGCTACTCGAGGGCTACCTGTGCTAGCGGTGTTTAGTTTTGAACTTATATACAAGGGGGGAAGCATCCTGTCAACCCTACTCACCGCCAACTAGTGGGCTACTCTAATCGAATAGTCGAATTTGACTATAACTCCTTTAACGCACCCACTAAACAACTCGGATCCACATTCCGGCACGCTAACTACTGGGTTGCTCCCGACCCGAGCTGTTTTCTCATCGGGATTTGAATCAACTGAATCTAATGAAACGTCACATTACTGTAGTAACTTTCTATCTTAACAATTAATGCTCTATAATTACAGCCTTTAGCTTTAACGTTAAAGCTAAGAGTGTGCATGAAGAAATCGGGATGTAACAACTCCCAAAAAGATTATGATAATCGCAGATTACATGGGTGACCAGTTAAAAAAATACAAAAAAGAAAAAAAAGCTACATTTTGCCTTTTATGTTTACAGCACCATTTCAACCAAGTGACTGAATCGTAAATTCGAACTTGCAATTGTTGAAGACTTAATGATTTTTTATCCCATTCATCCGTCCTCAGACGAAGGAGAGGGAATTGCATCTACAGCCAGGCAGAGATGAAAATAACCATGGAAGAAAGCATAATAAAACATTTATCATCATAAATATAATTCAGAATAGGCAGACGCATGCACGAACATTTAAGCATTGATTACTCATATGTATATAAATGGAAATATACGTATTAATACTTTCAATTATCAAACAATTTAACAACAGTTAACACATTAAAAAAAAAAACAATTAGCGGGGTGCCCATTCCTCCAGCAGCCTACGAAGAGTCTCCCCCGAAATCATGACGAGTGTCTTTTACACTTCGGTAATGATTAGATCGTCTAATACCGTTTGCAGTAATCAAAGCACATCTAGGTATGGTACAGGCTATGATTGTAAACTAAAATATTTAGGTTCAAATTTATCTGTATAGTAATATTAGAGCTCTACAGTCGGTCTTTAAGAAAATATGGAAGGACTGCATTCCCTCTCCAAGAAGTACATTCCTCTGTACGGCCGCAGTATGACAAACATTAAAATAAAATTACCAATAATATATTTAGATTTTTATCTCCATATTTACCCCCTCCCCCAAATGTCTACGAGAAGTTTCTCCTCGTAAACCCCCTCTGTAGGCACTACTGATTAGTTATACGATACACATTTCAAAATTTACTGCTGTGTATTAAAATCACACGATTAAATAGCATATCTTCATTAATTATAATTTTTATGACTACACGTAATCTAGTCTTATTTCAACTACCATCTCAGAATTGCTTCTAACCATTGTTCGCTATATTTCTTTAAATACATACAGCACACTACCGCCTTCGAGGAAGAAGATTTTAAAAATGGCTATGATAGTATAGAATTTTACGAAGAATACCATAAAACAAATCTTTTACTATTGAAATTTAAAGCGTTTGAATTATGATTAATAATGATAACTATAACATAAACCTAGTTTTCAGGGTCTTGCAACAACGCTTTCATCGTAAATAAGTTGTAGCCTATTAACATTTTTCATTTCGGTAATACTGCATTTTAAAGAATTCCACATTAGCAAGATACCAAGGGCTTCGATCCACTAGAGACAAAAGAACCACGCAGTGGAGGATACCAGACATTCAAACAAGACTCCAAAGTTCCAATAACGAGATTACTTGCACGAATTCAGCGTCTGACTTATAATTATCATAATGATTGTGCAAATAATATAAAAGCGAATGCAATGGGTGTCTTAGCTTGGTTGGAGAATCCCAATGTAGCTACTTCTACAGTAATTTGGCTGATAAAATCAGCAACTCAAAACTCCGTTTCTCATAATTCACTCGTGTTGTGGTTGTTTTATAAGTTTGTATTTAGACGAATTGAGTAACTGACAAAACTACAACAACTATTTCTTAACTTTTTTTTTTTTTTTGCTGAGTTATAGCATTAACAATAACAAGAATAGGGTAAAAAAGAAAAACCGTTATCTATCACGAGACACTTCAATGGTCCATCTGATTACCTTTGTAGGAAAACTAATTCATGGAGGAAACATAAATGATGTTTCCAAAATGATCTTTGCCAACGTTTATCATGCTTCAACTAAAACAGCTGGTATCTTACTCACAAATAGCTCACGTGTATAACACGGCGCGTCCTATGGGAGGAGGCTAATGGCAGAAACACATGTGTTGTTTGTAAGAAGAAAAATGTGTTATTTTCAGTACTATCAAGATAGAAAACCTAGTGATCATCATAAATGCACTATATATATGACACAAGCCATAAGAAAGTGCACGTTCCATTTACAGGAACTTCTTTTTTAAACATTTTTGACCTGTCCAACTATTTGCGTTGGAATATGCTGTTACACATTACCTAATAATTGCTCAGGATTTATAGCGTGAACATAAAATGCCTGTCTTCTGTATATGGATGACAATGTTAACTTATTCAGGACACCTTTCGAAATTCGTCTTAGATGTGTTTATAGTTATTGCTCTTGGAGAAAGTTTTAATGATAGCATACACTTTAGGTATGTATTATATTCTGTATTTTGTGAAAGTGTTAATGGTAGCATACACTTTAGGCATGTATTATATTCTGTATTTTGTGAAAGTGTTAATGGTAGCATACACTTTAGGTATGTATTACATTCTGTATTTTGTGAAAGTGTTAATGGTAGCATACACTTTAGGCATGTGTTACATTCTGTATTTTGAGAAAGTTTTAATGGTAGCATACACTTTAGGCATGTGTTACATTCTATATTTTGAGAAAAGTTTTAACGGTAGCATACACTTTAGGTATGTATTACATTCTGTATTTTGTGAAAGTTTTAATGGTAGCATAAACTTTAGGCATGTGTAACATTCTGTATTTTGTGAAAGTTTTAATGGTAGCATACACTTTAGGCATGTGTTACATTCTATATTTTGAGAAAAGTTTTAATGGTAGCATACACTTTAGGCATGTGTTACATTCTATATTTTGAGAAAAGTTTTAATGGTAGCATACACTTTAGGCATGTGTTACATTCTGTATTTTGAGAAAAGTTTTAATGGTAGCATACACTTTAGGCATGTGTTACATTCTATATTTTGAGAAAAGTTTTAATGGTAGCATACACTTTAGGTATGTATTATGTTCTGTATTTTGTGAGTTTTAATGGCAGCATACACTTAGGCATGTGTTACATTCTGTATTTTGATAATGTTTTAATGGTAGCATACACTTTAGGCATGTGTTACATTCTGTATTTTGCTTGTTTGTTTTTTAATTTCGCGCAAAGCTACAAGAGAACTATCTGCGCTAGCCGTCCCTAATTTAGCAGTGAAAGACTAAAGGGAAGGCAGCTAGTTATCACCACCTACCGCCAACTCTTGGGCTACTTTTTTACCAACGAATAGTGGGATTGACCATCACATTATAACGCACCTACGACTGAAAGCGCGAGCACGTGAAACCGTACATGATTTTCCATTTGTTAATCATTTGATTGGAGTTTACTGAAGTATTTAGTCAAATTCGTCATTTATCATTTCCACATTGTTACGTTTCGAATTGCATACTGTGCGTTAAATTGTTTGATAAAGGTTTACACACTATATAGATGTGGGTCCTGTTAGACTTTTTAAAAATGTAACATCATTCGTGTGACAAATACAAATACAGCTTGTGAATCAAAAGACCACAGTATGTAAACAATTACGTTATTAAACGACAAACAAACCTAAAATCAAAAGACCACAGTATGTAAACAATTATTTTATTAAACGACAAATAAAGCTTGCGAATCAAAAGACCACAGTATGTAAGCAATTATCTTATTAAACGACAAATAAACCTAGCGAATCAAAAGACCATAGTGTATAAACAATTATTTTATTGAACAGCTCAGGCTCTATCAAAAGATAAAAATTTTGACGATAGTTGTTAGTTTGACAGCTCGATGTGACCTTTATAATTAGCCGATCATACATAATAAAATGTCAATCTTCGCCCTAAATGTTTTAGAAAATGGAAATACGAGAACGCCTCTGAACAGATGTTTCAATCTATTTTTCCGAACTCTGTCACACAAACATACGTGTGAACCAAACATGAAAACACACTTCCTGCTCAACGCTGGTGTAACGCAGGAAAAACAAAATGACAAAAATGTGGGAGATACGAAAAATCAATCGGTATGTTAAAGCTTCAAATACTATTCGTAATTATGTAATATTACGATATAGTTACGTCATCTAATCCACAGAAGTTTGTTTCTGTTACGAAAACAGTTATAGAGATAAGATAATAAAATACTTAGTTGTAATACAAAGCTTTCTATATCGGATCTCCTCTCTCTATTTATATGTATAATATAATACGTATCCATTTTAAAATACGAGGATCAACAGTTCATATACGTATACAAATGTTTGTGTTCTGTTACAACAGCTCATATAACTTCAAACAGTTTTTATCATTAGTCAACGCAATCTGAGGGTCGCGAGTTCGAATCCTCGTCCCACCAAACATGCTCGCCCTTCCAGCCGTGGGGGCGCAATAATGTGCGGTCAATCCTACTATTCTTTGGTAAAAGAGTAGCCCGAACGTTGGAGGTGGATGGTGATGACTAGCTGCCTTCCCGCTAGTCTTTCACTGCTAA